GATGTGCTGCGTATGCTAGCTTCAGTCAGGCTAGAAAAAATAATGCTGACAGAGCTTCATCTGAAAATGTCTGGTTTGTTCTGAAATGTTCAGGAAAGACTTGTTCAGATGTGAGAAATGGAGTACCTTGGGTATGAGTTAATTGCATGAGTGCAGGTAGAGCCACTCTGGCAAGCTTGACTTGCACTAACGGACATCCAGAGGTCTAAGGAGCACAGCATGAAAAAACTTGGAATACCTTGGGCTGCCAACTTTAGTCTGCATTTTCAGGGCCTGGGGCTGGATGGACTAAACTTTCTCTTGGGCTGATAGACAAAGCTAACACTGCATGAAGTTGTCAGTAGCATTTCTGGACCCACATGGAAGTGATTGCATGCCACTGTGCTACACTATGCAGATACTGGTTTGGGTCTCTGGTAGAGCCAGGATTTGTGTGCTGCAGTCCATAGGAAAGGTATTTCACAGATTTCACAGAATATTCTGAGTCGGAAGGGACCCACAAGGATGATTCAGTCCAACTCTTAAATGAATGGCCCATACAGGAATTGAACCCACAACACAATCTTAGCACCATGCTTTAACCAACTGAGCTAATCTCAGATGTTTCTTAAGGTGTTCTGTTTAGTCATGTGGATGGTGCTCATCACAGCAAATGAATGATTTAATGAATCAGGTTCAGGAGAGATGAGTGTGATTATAAAATGAGGTTGGAGGTAGTACGGGCTTTGAAGTGGGAGGCTCAAGCTCTGCTTAGATCACTTAAATTGCAGCCATAGGGTGACTTCTACCTGACTCTCTGGTGCTCAACATGCAGTTGAACCCATGGGTGGATGGTTGATGAACTCATTAATTCTCTGATTGCCTGACATTTTTTAATTTTCCTTTCACTTCTTACCCCCAAACAGAGATTGACTCTGAAATCAACTGTAAGACTGAAGTAATTCCTGTGCCTTAATTTTGCTGCAAGAAGTCACTTGGTGCATCTCAGCTGGGCTTTACTTCTGACTTTGTTACACTCTTCATGTTTTCTTAACACTCTCTGTTTTAATGTTTCCCTATCATTAACTACTTGTCTCCTCTCTCTTTCCTGTTTTGGTTCTCTCTATGTGATTACTCACTCTGTTTTTCTGATCTTGTTCCAGCTTCCAATTTAAACTGTTCTAAACTGTCTTCTCTCTCTCTACCTTTTCTCTCTTCTGAAGTTTCCTGGAGCTCCCCCCACCCCAAATGTCTTTCCTTTCTCTCACTTTTGTCATTGTCTTTCTGTGGTTGTAAATACCACTGCCATTTGTTTAAATGCTGTTGTCTTTCTCTCTTTAGGGGGTTGTCATAAAGGATTTTAGACATGCTTTCCCTTCATGACAAGATTTACTTGTTACCATTGGTGTAGCTAGAAGGCTTATTACAAAAATGAAAATATGGAGGAGGAGTCCATTTTGCATATCGTGAAACACTTATCATTTCATTGTTAACAGCAGTTTTGGCAGCTCTTTAAATCAAAGGTTGAACTGGAAATATTATCAAAGAATCTAATAAAAAGGAAAAACTGTCACCTTTGAATTTTGAAAAAGTAAACCAAAAAAGGCAAAGTTATTTTCAGTAGAATATATTGTTTGCAGAAACAAGACCAATCCAACAATTTTTTGTCCTCATCCATCTTTTTAACTGCGAACTGAAATATTTGAAAGGAAAACTGAAGATTGAACTCAAATAATTTCTGATAAGAGGAATTTTCTGGACTTCTGAAAAAATATCTACTATTTCATGGGTACTACATATTGGTTGTTTCTAATTTTGTGAGAGCACCAGCCCTTGTTATCTGTCATGTGCAAAGCAGTTACATGATCTTCTGTAGTCATACTGGTTACATCATATTTGAGGTGTTGATGTGGTGTGAGGCAAGGTCTCCATTTGTACAACATGGCTTTTCCCTTGTTGGTAGCTAGTAGCAAAGGCACTTCAGGAATCAACCTGTGTCTCTGCAGAGAGTCAAAATATCTATAGCTGTATCTGCAGGTTTAGCATTTACCTTAGACAACTTGGCAAGTATTTTGGCTGTAGGAAAGCTTGAATCTTAGGAAACATACTATATTAAGGCTCTGTTGAGTTTTGTTTGTAGGGCTTCTGAAATGTTTCAGACTCCGAAACCCAACTGTTTTCCCTGCCTGTTTTGCTGAAAATAGTGTCAGTCAGGTTTGAATTTGAGTCCCTATCAACATAATATAAGGCAGCTTCCTTAGCAACAGTTATCCATGATTCCTGATGTGACCAGATCCTAGGTCGCTGGGGTGGGCAGAAGGGATGTAGGGGGGAGCCCCAAACCCAATGTGGCCATTTCTTGCAGGGGCTGAGTGGGGAGTTTGATGTTTTAATAGTACGGAAAGTCTGTTTGAATCACAGAATCACAGAATTCTTTGGGTTGGAAGGGACCTTAAAGATCATCTAGTTCCAAACCCCTGCTGTGGGCAGGGACACCTTTTGCTAGACCAGTTTGCTCAGAGCTCCATCCAGCCTGGCCTTGAAGTATGGGCCCTCCCTTCCAAGGATGGGGCTTCCATAACTTTTCTGGGCAACCTGTTCCAGTGCCTCACCACCCTCACAGTAAAGAAATTTTTCCTAATATCTACAGAATCACAGAATATGCTGAGTTGGAAGGGACCCACAAAGATCACTGACTCTAACCCTTAACCCTGCACAGGACCATCCCCAAGAGTCACACCATGTGCCTGAGAGTATTGTCCAAACTCTTCTTGAACTCTGTCGGGCTTGGTGCTGTGTGACCACTTTCCTGAGGATCCTGTTCCAGTGTGCAGCCACCCTCTGGGGAAAGAATCTTTTTCTAATAACCAACCTAAACCTCCCCAGATACAACTTCGGGCCATTCCCTTGAGTCCTGTCACTGGTCACCACAGAGAAGAGATCAGTGCCTGCCCCTCCTCTTCCCCTCACAAGGAAGTTGTAACCATAATGAGGTCTCCCTTCAGTCTCCTCTTCTTCAGGCTGAACAGACCAACTGACCTCAGCCCCTCCTCATACGGCTTCCCCTTAAGGCCCTTCACCATCTTTGTTGCCCTCCTTTAGATGGTCTCTAATAGCTTAATATCTTTCTTATATTGTGGTGACTAAAACTAATCTAAACCTACTCTCAGCTTGAATCCATTCCTCGTTGTCCTTTCACTACATGCTCTTGTAGAAAGTCTCTCCATCTTTCTTGTGGGCTCCTTTCAGGTACTGGAAGGCTTCAATTAAGCCACCTCAAAGCCTTTTCTTTTCCGGGCTGAACAAAACCAATTGTCTTAGCCTTTCCCCATAGGAGTGGTGATTGTTTGATTAAGGAAAACCAGTTTGAAGTAAGCTGAACTAAAAGGCAGGTTGCATATTTATTTTTTAATTGGTTATTTCTTTTTATTTACTTATTTATTTAATAATTAATTTTCTATGAAATATGAGAGGCTCTGAGTGGTAACATGTAGCAGAATAAAGGGAAAAACAAGCCCAAGCTCACACACGACTTGTGCTCTAGCTCCAGGCTCTGTTTGAGTTCACTGGAAACACTGGGGGTCCTTTCTTCCTGATGGGAAATTGTACTTTCTTTTGAAGAAAACCAAACTGGTGCTAATGACAGCTCTTTCAGACATTTGAATGCCAGGTCTCTTGCAGTCTTCACAGGAACTTTATTTCAGCAAAACTCTTAAGTTGTTTCATCTGACTTCTAGCATGATATAAAAGCTAGATACTTAAAAGTCTGTGTTTGGGATTCCTCTGCTGGTTTCCATGTCAATTACAATTATGTTGCATTTGAGCTAGAGGTTGCCAGCAGAGAATACTGAGGAGTGCCAAATTAAATTTCAAATACATTTTGTTCTTTGTTCATGTCGAGAAGTATTTCTCCCCTGAGGTTGCTGTCCTCAGCAAATGAGATCAGGTTGCCATTAAACTTTCTGTAAATATGAGTCTAGTTGAGTTTTCAAGGCCATCTGAGTGGCTAGCACTATTGACACTTCCTTGGAGGACTGGTGTAACATGAATGTTATAGGTACTGGTTTGAAAAAAAAAAAAGAAAAAAAGCCGGAAAAACCTTCCTTTCTTCCGAACAATCTCCAGTCAACCATCTTGGTATCTGGCTGCTTAATAGAAATGTGTCTCTAGGAAATGGGGAGGTTGCTTATTTTTAACACATGTATTTGTTAAGGCCCTGCTTTCCTATAAACATTGCCAAAATGAGACAATGCAAGTTATAGGAAAGTGAAAGGGAAAGCTCTGAATGACTTTTGGTAACTGGCTAGTGATTGATGCTTCACCACCAAGCAAATGTTTTTAGTTCCTTTTTATATTTGAATGTTTGCTTCCCAAATCCAGATTTTGGGTTCATTAGCATACTATGGATAGCCTCTAGCAGTGTATGCAAGTCCTATCTCTGTGTGTATTTTGCATTTCAAGCAATTAGCTTAATTTATATTAGGAAGAAACACTAATTGCAGGGGAAGGAAGAAGTAGGTAGCAACACACCAATGACAATTAAGATAAAGCATCACATATTACCTCTGTAGGTTTTCTTGAAAGAAGCTCTTTTCTGATGTCAATTAAGCCTCATAAGAACTTGAACCCTTGTAAGATAGACAGTATAGAATTATCTACTTTATATGAATTGGTAAGCTGAAACATGAAGTCTGTATTTTGCTTAGGTTTACAAAGCCAGAGGTCAGAAAAGAAGAGGGAAGTTCCAGACCTGTCAGGATCCTTGATTCTCTGACAGGTTTCTAGAAGATGAGCAACAGTTACAGAACTTCCTTGGCAAAATTCCTCCAATGAGATCAGTGATGTATATTGGGGATTTGGTATACAGGCTGGAAAATAGTTAAAAATCTCCATATTCTCTCTGGAATGAAGATAATTGCCCGTTCTGCCAATAGCTAATTATGTTTGACCTGCTTTCGATGGAGTCCCACTTTTTACAGTCTAACCAACCTTTTTGTTTCCTCTCTGTCATTGATCTCCAGAATGCAACAGCAACAACAGCAACGTCGGATGTTCACAGCTGCCCTCCTGGCACTTGTTTTCATTCTGGCAGCTGTGAGTACCACCGAGGCCGGCAAAAAAGAGAAACCAGGTAAGGTCCAGTGTAATTCAGAGTTAATCCCCAAGATAGATTGCATGTGTGGGAGAATGTCAAATGCTTCTGGTTTTGTTATGAGATTCAGGTAGCTTGTTAACGTTTTGACATCCAGGGTAGGGATTTGTGGCTCTGACATGTTGTTCTGTGTTAAACAGGAAACCAGAAAGTGGTTTCCACGCAAACTGGCAGCTTGACAACCCCAGAGACTGGAGTTCTTGGTTTATCACACAGTGGGTATTGCAAGGTAGCTTAAAATTTGCTCCAGGAATAGTTTCATGCTTGACTTAGGGAGAACCAAACAGGAGTGATGAAAGAGCAGTTATGTTGCTTGTTCAGGGTTGTATATGACAATACTACACCAATGCTGTGTGATGTGGAAATCCTCTGACAAAGATTTGAACTAACTCGCTGGCACAGCCAGCCAGATATCCAGTGGTAATTGCTTTCTGTCAGTGATGAATTCAGGCCTCATTATAGGAGAGACAGGCCTGGGGTGGAAAATTCATATTTGTCAAACCCAGTTTTGACATTTTTTAAAGAACATATTTTTTGGTGCTTTTCTTAAGGTCATATTATTTACAGGCTACTTACACTCAAGACAATATGAACTGTGAGTCTATCAGAACTAGTGTTCCAGCTAAAAAAAAATGGGCTTTCTAACCATTGTGGCTGTATGGAAATATGAGAAAATGTGAATGTGAACATACAAAACTTAGGAGAAAATTAATTTTATATGAGGTTATTTAAAGTTATTTGTGATGTTTGGGGGGCCTAAGTAGTGACAATGCTGTCTTTTCTCATAAGGCTTGGGTTTAAAGGATTGAAATGAAATCATGATCCTTACTTTTGTCCCTGAGCAATAAACCCACCTGTACTAACAGCACTTCAAATATGCTTCTCCATACAGGTTTTTTTGCCTTTGGAGTTTTGGTCATATTCTGACATAAAATGTGACATGGTATACCAAGTCAAAAGATTGAATCTCACAGCTGTTTCCCAGAGGTGCTCAAATCCTCTGATACACAATGTCAACACATTTCTAGTTGTTTAGTGTATAGTGTTTCAATTGGAACTGAGAATATTTGCCTGCCATCGGCTACTGGAGACAGAGGAGTGTCCTTTCTGAGCAAGCTTCTGTCCTTCTGCCTGTTTGGTCAGTGATCCTTGAGGGTTTTTAGATGATTCCCTATTCTGACATGGTAGTGGGAGTGAATTCGAATGATCACCCTGCTTTTGACTCAAAGAGGCTGACCTGTCTCTGCAGAACTGGGAAGAGGATGTCAGACTTTTTGATTTTAAAGCAATTGTGTTACAAGTGTCTTCCTTATTTACCCTTTCAGGTGCTCTGACTCTTTGGTTAAGTTTAGGGAACATCTCTGTAGGCTCTGGGTACTGACCACTTCTCTTGCTTGGTTCCTTGTCTTCATCCAGAGAAAAAGGCGAAGAAGTCTGACTGTGGGGAATGGCAGTGGAGTGTCTGTGTCCCCACCAATGGTGACTGTGGTCTGGGGACACGTGAGGGCACTCGCACTGGAGCTGAGTGCAAACAAACCACCAAGACTCAGAAGTGTAAGATTCCCTGCAACTGGAAGAAGCAATTTGGAGGTAAGCACCAGTCTCTTAAGGGATTTGTTTTGTTTTTAATTTTAAGAATGGAGCAGGAAGTCTGTATTTTCTCTTTAGTTCTGCAAATGTCTTGGTGAAGAGGTTAGTCCTGTATTTGAAGTTCATCAGAGCTAGAACATGTAGGGCATCAGAAGGCAGCCTCTTCAGAGCTCCTCTGCATAGAGTCCATATAATCTACTAATTATAAACTCAGTCTTCCAGCATGCTGAAATCTGCTCTCCTGTGGTGTCCAACCCTATTTAAGGCAGTAGTGTAAGTTCACAGCTGTGAATCTCTGTGATGGTTATCACAGGCTTTATGTGACCTTGTGATGTGTGATACGAGCCTTGTTGCCAGTGTGTGCAGTGGAGGGAGCAAATGATGATCAGTGTATATCATCTTTATCATTCAGTTCAGAAGCTTCACGTGCAACAGTTTAGAAACACGTCAGATCTGTTGTGGATAAGATGTCTGTCCAAGACTCAAATTTGATGACGCTTGCAATCTTGGCTTTTTTTCTAGTAAGCAGCTTGCGTGGTTTTGACATTATTGTGACCTTACCATCACAATCAGTGCTGCAGTTTCAGACCTGAGAAGTTTGTAGTTGCATATACATTTCTGAAACTGTTCAAGCCTTGTTTGGTAATCTTTGGCATCATACAAATATTGGAATATAGAATGTAGATGATATTCCCATTGTTGTTGTATCTTCTTTTTGTTGTTGTTGTTTATTGTTCATATTCACAGCTGAATGTATTTTCTTTTATGTGAAAAAATGCAATATCCATGCAAAAGCCAGAGGATTAAACTTTAGAACACTGGGGAGAGGGAAAGCTGCAATTACCACCGCAAATAATCTTTAAATTTTTCTTGAGATTCTTTTCCTCAGCTGCACATCCTTTTGTCTATACGTACTGACTGTCTGTGATATCCTATTAGACTCATAATATTTTTGTTTTCCCACTCAGCCACTGTGTTTTAAAACTTGCCCTTTATTTACTTATTGCAGCGGAGTGCAAATACCAGTTCCAAGCCTGGGGAGAATGTGACTTGAATACGGCCCTGAAGACTCGAACTGGAAACCTAAAGAGAGCCCTTCACAATGCTGACTGCCAGAAGACTGTCACAATCTCAAAGCCCTGTGGGAAGCTTACCAAACCCAAACCTCAAGGTAAATTCCATTTTCTGAAAGCTGCACGCTAGTTCATTTAAATCACTGGATTTGTGATGTCCCACGTGCTTCAGTGGGAGCTCAGTTGTACAGGAGATTGCACTTTCATGGTCCTTCCTCAGTTTAGCACTGCTCCTGTCTCTCAGTGGTCAGACAGACTATTCCTGAGCTGTATAGTCAAGGCTGTGTGACACACACAAGGTAAACTGAAGATTAGAGCTCCAATTTTAACTTTAGACCACCTGTATCACTACCAGTTTGCTTATGTGACAAGACTGCCAGACTGCAGATTCTTTTCATAACTCACCTGTTGATGGGAACAGACCAATAATAGCATGATAAAATATCCCTTGACAAAGACATCTTTTATATAGGTTTTGTTTGGTATCAATTAATGACTAGTTGAAAAAAGAACCGCTTTCCTTCTGGACAGGACTCATTGAAAGGATATTCTGCTCTGTGCACACTGAAATATGTAAATGTTGTGCACCCTTGGGCTTGTTTATTCTTTATTCAAATATGGCAGGAAGGAGAGTACAGAAAGTATATTTCTTATTTAAATGTGACTGACAGTGTAATTCGTAGTGCACATAAAGACATATGCCCTGCATTTGTGTTTCCAGGTGTCCCTTAGAAAAACTTATATTCTTTCTAATCATTAAAGCCTTTTAATGTACTCTTTTGTTGGAGTAACAGGTGTTACATGTGTGGGATGATTTATAGTGGGAGCTAAAATTGTGAGATCTTGTTTGAGATGCAGAAGTAATGTGTTTTAAGTGGATTATACAAGCTATGCTACCCTGACATTTGTTTGCTTAAAACCAGCAAGGTTTAACACACTCCAGGCTCTGAATACTTGGATAATAACACAAATAAATGTGATTAGGTGTGACAGGTGCACCTGGGACAAGCAACTTTCAAATTGTGGATGGTGGTGCACCACTGATCTGAGGAGCAACTGCAGGTGGCCTGCTCTGCTTGTGCAACCAGGGAGATGCTTGACAAGGTTGCAGGTGCTTTTTGTGTGTGTTTTTCCGTCTGCTTTGTAGTCAGTGCAGCTGTAAGTGCTTTTCCTTGCGCACCATCCATGGCGTTATTAGATGAGTCTGAAACTTGCCTAGATAGTGACAGGCTGTGAAGCAGAAGGGATACAACTAGCTTTTTAGAGACCAGCTGACTTGGTTGAGATGGCAGCAGTAAACATCATTTGAGGGTAGAAATGATTGGGTGGGGATGCAGGGAGGGCTTTGAGATGTGTGATTTTTATTGTGTAACAGTTTGGGGGGTAAGGACTTTTTTCCTGTTTCTGTGGTTTGGATTTTTTTTGTTTGCTTATTTTTTTTTTTTTTTTTTTTTTTTTTTTTTTTTATTGGTTGTTTGTGGTTTTTTGTTTCATTGGGTTTTGTTGTTTGGTTTTGGCTTGTTTGGTTTTTCGTTTCCTTGGGTTTTTTTGTTTGTTTTTTTTTTTAGTAAGTTTGTACGCCTGTGTAGCATTTGGGAGTTTATTGAATGAAGCTTCCCATTGTGCTGCCAGAAGGCCTCTGCCACTCGAGCCACCAGTAGCTCTCTGCCTTGTCTTGCTCCCACAGAGTCAGTATGTTCTGTGAATGGCTGCCAGAAGAGGGGAGAGGGAGACAAAGCAGGACGTTGATACAGTACTGTTTTGTGAAAGCAGGGCTGTTGGGCAGTACAGACTTGTTTTCGAGTTATAGTTTTGAAGGCAGAGCTTGAGAAATTGCTGGGTTGGAGTTAACCTTAACTGATTCTAGGTATCACTGAGCTATAGCTGAAACTGAAGCTCAGGTTGGGACAGCTGCAGCAAACAGATATGGGGTTTTACTTAATTAGGAAACCTGACTTCATTTGATTCGAAGGAATGCAAAGGGAGAAATAGGTACAAATGTGGGGGTTTGGTCATAATAACTGTGAGCAGAAGTTCTGCTCTCCTGATTTACTTTAGAAATCTTCCTGCATGCCACCTGCTTGTTCATCTGCTGTTGGCATTAGTAGGAGTGGCAGACATGGAAGTCACACACACACAGCCTGCCTGGGCTCTGGGCTAAGTCCATATTGCAGATATGTGGGTATAACTACATAGGAGCTACAATGGGCAGTGTGTTGGCACCAGTAGGAGGAATTAGAATAATAAATTGGGTCAAGCATATTAGTACTGTATGAAATGTTTTGCCCTACTAGACTTTATTTCTGAGTTAAAAGTCATAGTGCTGACATGTTGGCTGGAATGAGAGTATTTGTTTTCTTCCTGAAGTGAAAGAAATTGCGAGTTGGAGGTAAGTCCTTACCCACAACTAGATAAAAGAAAAAAATCAAACTGCATTCAATCTATAGCTAGAATTTTAATAAATTTCCTTATTTGGAGATGAGAAATAAGAACTGGATTATTGCCTGAGAGCTTAGAATGGACTGCAGGTATATATTAGGCTCCCTTTTCACACATAGCTTTGCATCAGTGTCTCAAGACTACAAGAGAAAAAGCCTATGATATATTATTTGGAAGCAGCAGCGTTTTTTTCTGAGGCACAATGTTGCAAAAGATCTGTGTTGATATGCAGCTACATCTGTAAACGCTGGTCAAGGACCACCAATTCCTACTGTGATTGCCTGGGGTAGCAGAACAGTGGCTTCCTGGCATTTGAGAGCTCTGGCAACAGAGCACTAAGTTGGGTTTATCAGTTCCAGGAGTCTGTTTTACTGCTGGATGGTTACCTTTCTGTCTGGTGTATGCTTTAAGAGCTACACCAATGAGTACATCTCTGACAGCAACTTTTGGAGTACCAAAAGCAGATGTGAACTGACTGAGAATATTGCACTGAAAAATACTGACATATTCAGAAAAAGCGTTTTTTTTCATGATTTTCCTGACTAGCCTCCTTTCTTGTGCACAGAAATTTTTCTTTTATTAGCTTGTGTTTGTAACCTCTCCAGTATATCACTTTTCCTTTTGATTTCATACTGAAAATGAGTTGAGCAAAAGCCCACATTTAGCTTCTCCAATCAATGGTAGTTATATGTATCTTCTGTCACTTTTTGTCACTTGCCATCTTTTAAAGCTGAAACCTCTGACTTACATATTTCTTCGTATAACAATTTATCCACAATAAGAATACTCACTACTGGACTTAACCTAAATTCCTTCTGTTATTGCAAAATAGTTTTTGTGATGAAGAGACTGGACCGTATACAGTATTTCAAGCACATCCTCTACAGATCTGTGTTGAAAAAGAAAACATCGTTGCAATACTACCTTTATTGTTCATTATATCCACCAAATATTTTAACTATGATTTAAATTTTGATCACTGCTTGCGTGTGAAGTAAACATCTTTATCTAAGACCTTCACAATTCTCCCTAACTCTTACATTTTTTAAAAATTAGTTAATGTGATTAGTTAAGAACCCCAGAAGTTGTGTGGGTAAGACAGCTTATTTGTTTAGGCCCCGCCAATGAAGTGTTGTGCATCAAATTTCACCTGACACAGTTCCTTGATGTGACTTGGTGCCTGAAGCTCCTCCTCACATTTTCTGCTCTTTGAGAAAACTGCAAATAAATTGATCTTAACTGTGGGTGCTGCCCTACTGTTGGTTATCCATCTTTCCAGCTTGTGAACATATGGCAACTTTGCTGGTAGCACGAATCATATGTCTCTTTCCTCTCACTTAACAATTTCAAAAATGACTGCTGTTCATAAGATCTTGTTCTATTCTTAACATAAAGTGAAATTATACATGTAGAAAAATCTCAAGGGTTATAATTTTGCAGATTTGCTGATAAAAGTATAGTTTGTGCTAAATTAAACTAGGAGATACTCATGATTTTTGGGTATCAATGCCTTCTTCATAAACTGGTGACCTAAGTGTTTTTATGGATTTGTTTTATTGTTAGTCAGCTTTCATAGAAAAGTGTTAAAGTCTTTTTGAAGCACTCCTAATTATTTTGGAAAATAAATAGAAAAGTATATAAATTTTTTCTTCTTACTTACAATTGCTCCATGACAGTACTTTTTTCTTCTGAGCGTCTGACTTCTATAGATTATTGTCTATGACACTTGGACATTTTGGAGTCCAGTGCTGTATATTGAATTTTAGGGTGAGAGCAGATGATAAACCAAGAATTTGAATTTTACCTGGTTTTCTGACGAGCTCTTTTTCCCTAGCTTTGCTCAGGCTGGAAGACAGTAACTTGGTCCTGGGCTGCTGTGCTAAAGCGTAGCTAACACAGAATGAGAAACATCTTTTGCTCTTGAATATTGTGCTTTTGGACAGAGAGATTGTCAGCAAAGTGACAGTGATATCCCAGACACCATGGTTTGTGTATTTAGTATACAAATGAGGTCATGAGGAAGCCTGTCATAAAGTCTGGGCAGGCTGAAAGGATAATTTTTATCACAAAAATCCCAGTGGAGGCAACCACCTCTCCTCTAGCACATACAATTGCATATTCTAATCAGTGTCTGCAAGGCCAGCGATGTTCAAGGTCTCCCTAAACTATCTTGACAGATATGAAAGTCTTGGGCACTTCTATCAAGTGGCTGCTCTAATGGCCAGCTTGCACTGAAGAGCACAAAGCACTTCCGACATACTCCATCTGTCCTACTTCACAGCCACCCAAACTTGATTGATGGTTGTTCGGGTTCCAGCCATCTAGAAAGCACAAGAATGGAGTATTGTCAGGATTCAGGAAACATTTTACTTTAGCTGCTAAGAGAGGAGGAATTTATTTTCATTGAGCTGTGTTGCCTGATAGGCATTATTTCTTTTTATACTCATTCTATGTCTCTCATTCTTTCTCTCTCTCTCCCCATAAGTCTTGTACTTTCAGGTATTTATTCTTCAGTTTAAGATAAAATTAAATAGAATAAACAGTCTGTCTGCCCTTTCTGCAATGCACCCTTCATTTTTTGAATTATGCTCCTTTCTGGTAAATTTTTCACCTTCCTGTATTTAGTTCTTTTTAATAAATCTCCCTTTACAACTTTTTG